CAAGAGAAGAGTTAGGAAGAGAGTTATTCTTCAACCAAGTCGAAAACCAACCCTTTAAATACATTTTCGAGTAGTACCATTTAATTTATTAGACTATTTCAATGGTTTGTTGCATGGTTGCTTCTAATTTCTTAAATTCGTTAATGAAACATTGTTGGTGAAGTGATTGTTGACAAAATAAATCAAACCAACATTTATTTGAATTCACAATTTTAATTGGTTAATCAACAAATTGCATGGGTTAAAATTTTGTGTCCCCAGAACGGTCTCTCCTGTTACAAAAATCCCTTAAAATTATGTGTCCAATCACTTTATTTTGATAAGTGTGCAATGAACAATTTCAGTGACATCCAGGACGGCTATTGCATGCCCAATATCTTATACAAAAATTTTTTTTGATTTCCATTGTTTTGCATAAATTTTAGTGTAATATAAATTTGGTATATTACATAACAATTATAACAATTTAACAAACACAGTCAATCATTTCTTTTAATTAGTAAATGTGCCCCAATATTTTATTTATATTGGTTCTGTGAAATAATATTACATAAAATTTTTCTTAATAAATAAATAAATAATCTAATTAATATCAACAAAATAAATGAAATATTTTTTCAAAAAATTTTAAAAAAATTTTTAATGGTTGCAGTTTTTTTAACTTGTACTATTTCAATATTTGAATTTGAATGCCCATGCCTTGAAGCCATTCGATACCATTTAGTAGCTTTATCAACATCTCTTTCTGTGCCAATTTTATTTTCATAACAATATCCGACACTATTTTGACCATTACTATTCATGTTTTCAGCTGACATTAGATACCACTGAAAAGCTTTATTATAATTTTTTTTTGTACCAATTCCATAATGGTAACAATTCCCAACACTATATTGACCATTGCCATTTTCCTTTTCTGCTGATTTTAAATACCATTCAAATGCCTTATCATAATTCTTTTCTACACCAATTACATTATGATAACAAAATCCAACCATGAATTGGGCACCTCCATTCCCATTTTCAGCTGATTTCAAATACCATTCAAAAGCCTTATCATAATCCCTCATTGCATCAATTTCATAATGATACCAACGTCCAAGATTGCATTGAGCATTGCTATTTCCATTTTCAGCTGATCTTAAGTACCATTGAAAGGCCTGATTAAGATCTTGTTGTTTGCCAATTCCATGATGATAACAATATCCAAGTAAATAGCCAACAATTTTATCTTTTACATCATAATTTGATAAATTCAGATATATATTAAATGCTGTTTTTGCATCTATTTTGGTACCTATTCCACATTGGTAAAAAAATCCCAATATAAGCTTTATATTAACATTAACATCATCATCACAATCTTGCATATAATCAAATAATTCAGTTGAGTTTGCATTATTCTGGGTTATATAATTCATCAAAATTTTAGTTACATGATGATGATTATTAATTTCTATCTTAGTCATAAATAATTCTAATATCTCATTAAAAAAATCTCTCATATTAAAATTCTTTATGTTTGATCTTTTTATTGTAGGTGGTTGGAGTGGTATCTTATGTGAACCAATAGTTGTATTTTCTTCTATAGAAATATTCCAATAATCACGTTTGTTATTTGAAGCTTTTTTAAACCATTTTGTAGCCATGTAGGTATCTTCTTCTGTACCAATTCCATCTTGATAACAATATCCAAGTTGATTTTGACCATTTCTATTTCCATTTTCAGCTGATTTTGAATACCATTGAAAAGCCCTGTCAAGATTTTGTTGAATGCCAATTCCATGATGGTAACAATATCCAACATTGTATTGACCAACACTATTTTGATTCTCTGCAGATTTTAAATACCATTGAAAAGCTTGATTATAATTTTTTTCTTTACCAATCCTATATTGATAACAATGTCCAAGTTGATTATGTCCATTACTATTTTCATCTTCAGCTGACTTTAAATACCACTCAAAAGCCTTATTTTCATCCTTTTCTATACCAATTCCAAAATGATAACAATAACCAACATTATATTGACCATCACTATCTTCATGATTAGCTGATTTTAAATACCATTCAAAAGCCTCTTCATAATCTTGTTGTATACCAATTCCAAATTGATAACAATGTCCAATATTATATTCACCAACACTATTTTGATTTTCTGCACATTTTAAATACCATTGGAAAGCCTTATTATAATTTTTTTTTGTACCAATTTCATATTGATAACAAAATCCAAGCCTATATTGTCCATTACTATTTTCCTCTTCAGCTGACTTTAAATAACACTCAAAAGCCTCACGATATTCCTTTTTTATATCAGTTCCATATTGATAACACATTCCAAGCAAGTAGTAGATAATTTTACTTTCTTTACAATTTAACAATAATAAATTTGTATATATGTCAAATGCCTTCTCTTCATCTCTTTTTACACCTATACCATATTGGCAGAGAAATCCTAACATGATTTTTATATTTAAATCACTTATATAATCAGTATAAATAACATTAAATAACTCAGTATGATTTATATTGTTTAAAATCATATAATTTTTTAATTCTTTGGCTATTTTTTTAGGTTTACTAGTTTCTATTCTGGCCATGAATAATCGTGTCATTTCATTAAGAAATCTATTTAGATTTGATATTATTTCATTTTCTTTTTCATCACTGAATTCTTGCTCACCTTCTTCATCCGCATTTGTGGTTAATGAAGAAGTGTCAGTGTTTTGAAATCGTTTATTTGATTTTATTTCCTTTGATTCATTTGTAGTTGGTGTAGAAGTGCAAGTGTTTTGGAGTTGTTTATTTAATTCATTAATACTATTATACAAATCACCATCAATATTTATACTGTTTTCGTGTTGTTCTCTATTATGATTCTTTATATCAAAAGGTCTTGGTAATGGAATTATGTTATTAACAGTATCAGTAATATCTACATCATCCAAATTATTTATAACTTCTTGTATATCAGGACGAATATCCGGATTATTATCCCAACAAGCTTAAAAAATATAAAATAAATTGATATAAATATAATAATATTTAAATACTGAATTATTCAAAAATTATTTACTCGTATAAATTTCTACATATTTTCTTGGAGATCCTTCAATGATTTCTTCTCTTTTACCATTTACTATAGAAAATACAAAACCAAACCCTGTAGATGTTTCAGATTCAAATGGTATTTTTCCACTGGAAATTTCCCAGAATAATATACCAATACTGTATATATCAGATTTTTTATTACGAGTATATCCATTAGGGTTTTTTAAATATTGTGGGTCTGAATATTGTAATGTGCCATAGAGTCTGAGTTCTGAATTTGAAGAATCTAATAAAAATTTTGAAATACCAAAATCACAAAGTTTGATATTTTCATTATGAATAAGAACATTTCTGGAATGCTGTAAAAAAAATTATTAAATATAAAAATTAATTAATTAAAAATAAAACAATTATTAAATTATTAAATTTTTAGACGCATACCAAATCCCTATGGATTATACCATTGTCATGTAGACATTTTACAGCATTTGCAATTTGTCTTGCAAATCTTAATTTAATATTCCAATTCATTCTATTAAAATTTTTTTTTAAATAATCAGATAAATTACCACTGGCAGCATATTCCATTACTAGTGTTATGCAGTTATTAATACGAGCTGTGTCATCTTTAATATAATAATAATGTTATTAATAATTTGTTAGAAAATTTTCAGTGATGCGCACATGTAATGAAATCTATCCATACCTTTTGTAGTTATACCAAGAAGTCTTAATATATTATCATGAGGATCAACTTTTTGATGTTGTTTTATCTTTTAAAAAAATATTATTAACACATAAAATATATCTTATAATTATAATTCAATAAAAAAATCATATTTACTTCATTAACAAGTTGTTTAGTACTATTTCCGGTAACAGTCTTTAATGCTACCATCTTTTGATATTTTTTTGAAAATGCACGAAATACTGTTCCAAATGCACCATTGTCAATTCTTTCAACGTTTTGAAAAGAATCATAATTATGAGATAAAATATATTCTTTTTCAATTGCATCATCAAGCCAATTCTTACATTCTGTCTTGTTCATTTTTTTTAATGACGGTAATGGTAATGTATCAGAAAAGGAATTTCATTTATAATAATAATAACAACAATAAACAAATAAAAAAAACTCGTTGCATTAATGTTTTTGATAGTACATAGTAATAGCAGTCGTGTGACATGTACTTTCGAATTATAGTAATAGTAATAGTAATAGTAATTAGTAATAGTGCAAGACACCTAATCCCGCAATACAACGACAGATTTGGGAAAAAATTCCTAATCAAAAATGCAATAAAATTTGCGATCACATAATAATAATAATAATAATAATAATAATTTTTAATAAATAAAAAATCTTTATTATATATATACATACTGCAATTCTTTCTAACATTAATAATATAATGCATATTTATCCCAAGTGTATTCCCATGTAATATTTTTTTGGTGCTAAGTGGGAATAGCATGTCTATTTATTATTATGCATTCCTTTGATCAATATTTTACTTTGTTTTATTTTTTTTTTAACGATGCAGTACTGTTACACTGTTTATTAAAAAATTTTATATATTATTATTGTTATTATACAAATATTTAGTTCTATTTAACATGTAACTACCCCCCGTAATAATTTATATTCGTTTAGGTCGACTGTTCATCGCCTGTTCCTCCCAATTAGCCTGATTATTGATTTCAATATTCAGTTTAAGCTTCGCACTAATTTTCTTTAGGAACAAACTGACAAAATGTCAGTACT